ACCCCCCCCCCCCCCCGCCCCGCCCAAACCTTACCCACTTAATAAAGCATGGCAACCAATCTGGGCTGAAAAGCAAGATGGAAACAGTGTATCACTAAACTGTCATAAAGCTATCAGTACTCTGTAAACACAGCAACTGTTGTGTCAGACTGTGAGAACAAATCTCCTCCTTTCAGCATCATTACGTCCCCAGATCTCTGACCGAGGAAAATCCATTCAGATAGACTACTGATGGAATATATGTTTCTTTCCATGAAGCAGGCTTTCAGGACACACAAGATCCTGCAATAGACTGCAGTGGTATTTTTGTTGTCTCCAGTCCTTCACCCTAGACGGGGTATTCATGAAGCTATGCCTTACCTTTACAGATTGTTTTTGAAGCAATTCGTGGGGTGTCGATAAGAAGTGACACAGCTATTGATGATATTCTGTTCCAGGCAGGACCCTGTTTAGGTAAGCTACATAAACTTTGTTTTTCTTAGGAGACACCTAGCAATTAATGCAGCGGTTTTTGTAATTAGATAGGCCATACTTCTTCCATTGAATCCCCACCGAACGGGTCTGATCTTAGTATCATGCTGCTGGGCTACTGCAGAATTTTCTCCTTTTTTATAAGATGTGAAGCCTGAGAAATTTGTGACAACTCAGACTAGTAAAGATCTTACGGAAGTTTTTAACAGTTGTATGGCCATCTCATTTAAAATCCAACATGATAATTGCATTCTTCTTATGTAAAGTGATAAAAAATGCAAATAATTACAGTATTTTCCCCCTTCTTTTGTATTTTAGAAGTGGAAGAAATTCAGTTTTCATCAGGTCATCCTGACAGCTTAAATGAGATTGAGTATTAAACACATGCTGCTGAAAGAAGTGACGTGCACAGGTTTATATGTGAGAAACTGCACAAACTACCTATTTTAAAGCATGTTTTAAAGAAATACTGGACTGGGTTGAATATTCACCGACATATAGGAAGAACTCAGAGCACTCATGTTCCTTGCCTTTGCAATGAAATTATTGACTCAGGGCTTCTTAGACTTTTTTTTTTTTTTTTTTATTATTTCTCCTTTGCATGAGGTATTGGTTATTAGATAAAGGCTTCCCATTTTGCACAGATCATTAAAGAAAGTATTTTAATGCTTTTGTAAATCTCTGTCATATAGATAAAAAGAGGAAAGTAGATATGCACAATTAAAACCTATTATTGTGTTATCTTAAATCTGCATTCAGTGAATGTTTTGTGTTGGGTATAGAATGGATTTTTTTAAAGGAAATTATAAATATTTTGAAATAAAAAAATAGTACTAGCTTTTAGTGATATCCTGCAGGTTAAGTGCAATTATTCATGATGACAAATCTCTCTGGGAAACTAACATGTTGCTAGCAATTTTTTGTGGTTTTGTATTCTTTTACTATATATTTGTCATTCTTGCTAATAACAAATTGACTTTTAGTGTTCCAGTATAATTCAGTGTAAGCGACTGCTGTTTTGAACTATATGAAATGGGTTTGCATACATTTGTAGGTGTAGCTTTTCTGGCATACAGATCTTGTTTTTTAAATAAAATCAGTTTGTACACTCACATAGAATATATTTGTCTTTTCTTATACTTTACCCAACCACAAATGCTTTGTGTTTATGCTAATAAGAAACTGAATTTACACCTGTTATTCAGATTTTGTGTTTGTTTATAAGACTTTGTTTTGAAATTAGAGAACTTCCTAATAAAGAGGATTTTCAAAGTTACATTTATTTGCTCTGCCTCAAACTTTAGTTATTGGCGTAACGAGAAACAACTGAACCTAATAGCTTGAATTCAGTATTTTGAGTACTAAAAAAAAAGAAACGCATGGGTCACGTCATTTCACACCGCCAACACAGAGCATCCCAAATACAGCCCTCATCTGTTGCAGGAAGTTTCCGCACTGAGCCGCCCAAGTGATTCTTAGAGCCACCACATCCAATCTGCTTCTGCAAGACATGAGCCCAGAGAAACGAAAACAGCTTTTTTCCTCTCAACACAAAGTATAGGGCTTTTCTAATTAGCCTTTAGCACCACTAGCACCTGGGACATGTTAGATCAGATTTCAGATTGTTTTATTATAGATTGTCCCCACTTAAAACCTGTTGCACTGAACTGTACAAAGCATTTCTGAGACAAAACCTGAAGATCTAGCCCCTAGCATCTCTAGTCCCTTTTTTTTTTTTCCTTCATTTTGCTGAGACAAACAATTAAAGACATTGTGCAATTAAATATATCCAGTAACAAACATGTTTATTGGACCACACGGGTATTATTTCCTAGAAACTGAGCAAGAGTCAAAAGGAACTGACATCCTAACTATCTACAGTCCCTGTTAGCAGCTGGTTACCAATGCATCATTCTGGCTATTACATTCTGAAAATAAAAAAATAGCCAGAAAAAATGGACTTTTTCATAAGAGTTGCGCTTATGAAAGAGTTCAAGAGAGCGCTGATGCTTAAGCGCCAACGTTAAGATCAAAACATCAGCAGAATACAAATGAAAACGAAGCAGTTAAAATCACCAGGCTTGGTGATTCTGCATACTTCTAAGGAGACTTTTCTATATTTGAAATAAAATACAAAGTGCAACCACTGGGTTTCTGTCTCTAACCCTGTTATGCAACTCTGCTTCATTCCATCCCATTGCTCAGATTTAGGTAGATATGAGACCTAATCAATTACTCTGTTGTGCTCAGTTATTTTACAGGCCCCTATCACTGAGAGATATTTATTTCGAGGGTATGAAGTACTATCTTGACTGCAAAGGAAAAGCTTAAGTTCTCCCCTCACCAGGAAACAACAGTCCCTTTCCATCTGTTACTGTCACTGCATGAATTGAAGGACGGAGGGAGAATTGGAAAGGTGGCTGCTTTTCAGGCTTTTTATTACTTTTTAAGTTAAACGCCTGCCAAATTTCAGCCTATAGAATAGGCATATTGCAAGACCAGTGAAAGGCTGCAAAACATCTGAAAAACAGAGACAAACGCATTAAGATTGTTCCAGTGGCAAACCTCAATCCTGTGGTGAGGTAAAAACCATTCCGTCAGCTCTGTCCAATTCCGAAACTTCCCTTGCAACTAATTTTTGCCCTGGATCCTTCTTTTATTTACTAATATTTCCTTTCCTGTCACTGGAATAGCTGTAAAGGGACCATAGCAGAGCAAAGAACAGTTCTGAGACCGTGCTGCACTGGGCGTGCTTACTGTCAGATAATTTCTTCGAAAGCTGTAAATATGAAAGAACCCACAAGTAATTGCTTTGAGCCTACTTGTGGCACAGTCCACAAAAATGCTACGAAAAAGCAAACTTCAAAAGCTATTGTAACACACCAAACACTAAGAGGCTTGTATTGGACTGCTGTAAACAGAGCTGTGTTCTGCCACAGCAGAACCCAATTTATCCTGAGAGCAGGGGAAAAGCCCTTTTATTGCTCTTTTGTTTTAATACTCATTTTATTTAAATGTTTTCAATTGTTTGACATTTTGTCATATATGTATTACCTCCTAAAAAGAGGGCCAAATGCTGATCTCAGTTGCATCAATGGAAATCCAGAATAACTACATAAAACGTGATTGTTACTCTAGCTTCATACAAGTGTAATGAAACCACATTCTGGCCCAATATTGTATTAGACCAAAATAAACCTAACACAGCTCCAAGTTTACAATCATGAAGCTTCACTAAGACCACTCAAGCTGAGCACTGAAAAGTCTGGCGTTTATCTTTCTAGATTTGAATCCGGCTTAAAATTATGACTTCCTCTATTCAAGGTACCCCCTGCTCCAAAAGCACTCCCAGGTAAGGCAGAGGACCAAAGAGCACGCGCTTTTCCTCCACCCTGACACACCGAGTCAAAATACCGCTCACACTTTGAGGAGCGAACATTCATTCATCTCTTGCTCCCTCAAACAAACGCTAAACGTGAGATGTAACATTCGCTTCCTTTTAGCCCTTCCTTCGGAAAATGATTTCCATTTGTTACTTCCAGTTTCTGAGTTGCTTAGGCGCAAGTTGAAGTGAATAGATAATCTTTCAGTTCTCCTTTATATTTTCTCTTCTGCTCTGTATTCACCTCCATGCTGTTTTCTCCCATCCTTCATGAGTGGTTTGAGTGGTTTTCTTGACTCTCTCTCTCTCTCTCCCCAACCTATTTTTCTTCCCCATCTACTTATGGTTTCTCTGAAGACCAGTGTTTCTACCATCATTTCTGGTCTCTTTCCTACCGCTGTGCATATTCTGTTACGTTCATTTTCTCAGTGCTAAGCAGTGTGCTGCATCCAGCTGCCTTTATGTTCTGTATTAACTTTCAAGTTCTCATCCTCTTCTTTCCTCGTGCTCCAAGCACCATCCACCTTACATCAATGTCTTTTTTCCAGCTCTTCCTAGCATTCATGCTAACCAGGCCCCAGAAAATCCAGCCTGACAAATTCTGTGAACAAGCGATTTCTTCAGCAGTCTCTAGCAGCAAAACGGAGAAAGGGTTAACATAACCTCATCACTTTTAGCTGCAAAGCACTATTACTTCATGGATCCAACTCTCCCCTTTTAGACTGCAAGTTTGAGACTTAAGTGATTTGAGACACTATAATTTTTATTGATTAAGCAAAACATTACCAAGAAAATAAGTCAATTAATCTAATTAATAAACATACTGCTTTAATTTACAACTATATCATTTTGCACATTATTACACAGAATCACAAAGCTATTAGTTACCACAAACCTTGTAAGTGACACTCTGTATTTAATTACAGTTCTATCCTTCCCTCCCCACACCACCTAGAACAAGGGTGCACATCTGGCCCTCTTTACGCTCCTACACCAAGCTTTTCGGTCATGGAGTTGATGGAGAGTCTTGTGGCTTGTCCAAAGTACTTGTCTGGCATCCCTGGTAGGCTTGACTGTCAGCTTCATTACTGTTCCGCAGGCATCTGCGTTCCCACTGTTAGCAGATTTCCCTCAACACACACCCCTTCATTCTTTTTCCTGTATCCAGAACAACCTTTTCTCACTGCGCTTGTACCTCCCTTTTGCCACAAAAACTTCTCCCAAAGAAACAACCTGCCCTAAATTACTTTTTCCTCATCGGTCCCAATTCTGCTACATCCATACCCTACTGGGTAGGCACACCTTAATATGAAGTTGCTGATATCATTACCAAGGCAATCTTGACCTTTTACGGTGTTATTGATGCCATGTAGGTATCAGTGGCCTTGAAAGGCCCTAGAGAGCCAAGTCTTCCTTACAATTATCTGTTCATACTGGGGACACGTTATTTTCCTTGTAAACTTTCTAAGATAAATCAGTCTAGTTAATCTTTGCAATGAGAAAGAAGAATCAGTTAAACACAAGCAGTCTCTCATCTTTAGCCTTCAACAGTTGTAATTGGCCTCCAGGTTCTTTGCAAAGGCCTTGTCTAGTTATGAAGCCGTGTGCTCTAGCAGAAACTCTTGCTCAGAGTCAAAAAACAAAACACAACACAGCACCCCTGAAAGGAAAGGCAACTGCAGGACTCAGTTTCTAACACTGGTAGTAATCCTGCAATGGTGCCAAAAATAAATAAATAAATAAAACATTGACATACATTTCTCGAGGATTCTTTCAAAGGACAACTATCCTTCCTATATGCTTCCAGATCCCCGGAACAATACAGGCAAGACATCTTTTCCCTATATGGTGCCAAAAATTAAGAAAAAGTAAACAAGCCCAGGTAGATCCCGGCGTCTAGAAACCAGAGGAACTCGCTCGCCCCGGACCCGAGCCTTTCCCCGCGAGCAAGGCCAGGCGCTCCCAGGGGCGCCCGACCCTGAGGATCCGCC